CATCTGACCCGATCATTCTTTATTCCGGTTTTGTATTCTGGGTCTTAATATATTTTGCAAACTTGTCTCCCATTCTGCAGACACTATTTTAAACATTATTAATTAATTTTGAACAATAGTCTATCCCTGAAGTCATTTAGCCACATTATAGAACATTTAGGAGATAGAAGGAAAATTCCCATCACATAAATATTACCTTTTGATAACATATAAAGAAGTGGGTGTCATGTGACTGAAGCTCACCATCAGGAAGCTCATTCACAATGCTTCAAAGCCGCTCCGACCAGCCGGGTTCAGAACTCCCCAGACAGGTGCTTGTTCTGTCTCTATGAGAACTCTTGGGTTTGGAGACCTCAGGCTTGTGTGGTCGCCACACTGCCCTATGGCTGGCTTATTTCTCTTAGCATAGTGTCCATACAGTAGCATGTGTTAGCATTGCTTTACTTCTGAAAACAGAGAGACCACCATTGGCTGAACAGCTTCCGCTTTTTGTCTCACCTTTTGATGGATCCCCGGGTGGCCACCGCTTCATAGCTATAGTGAAGTGTCAACTGTGACTTTGGTGTGCAGACACCTGCCGGAGTCCCTGCTTGCTTTCCTTTGGGGTGTCTACTCTTGCCATCCCCCTACTTTTTAAAAATATTTATTTTATACATATGAGTGTTTGCCTGCATATATGTTCACATGTTACAGTACCTGAGGAGGCTAGAAGAGGGCATTAGACTGTCTGGAACTGGAGTTACAGACAGCCATGAGCCACCATGTTGTACCACTGGGAACGGAACCTTGGGCCTCTGCAAGAGCAGCAAGTGCTCCTATCTTCTGAACCATCATGGCTCCAGTTTTGGTCCCCATCCCCCCACCTTTTTTTTTTTTCTCTTTTGAGTGTGCATTCTCTCAGGATTATCAAGACTGTCATAAAGATCTTTGAGCCCAGAGTGAAAGGTATTTGGACAGCAATGGAGAGTTCGTATCTTGGAACAACTCTCTGGGCACTACTTTTGACAGTCCTCTCCCATTTTTATTGTTCTGCTTCCCCTCCCTGGTGTAGAAGAAAACCTTTATATTTGTGTCCAGTGTCCTGATGACAGTTTATCTGTGAGGGAACCAAACTGGGTGATCCAGCTGGGTGGGTTGTAATAGTTGGTCTCAAGATTAAATCTTTAGGGCTGGGGTGTGGCTTGCCTGACACACATGAGGACTTGAGTCCCATCCCCAGCACTGCAAAACACAAGAAAAAAAAACCCAATGGTTTTCTTTAAAGTCTCATATGTGTGGTACCTTCAAGATTCAACGTCCCCACGATCCAGGTAGAAATGGGACCTTGGGACCTACTGGAGATGGTGTTTGGGCATTCTGAGAACAGCTGTCCTTCACTAAGAGAGGTGGAAATGGGCCAGACTCTGGGCATTTTCATGTGAATCTCCTCGTCTGATGTTATTCCCAACTAGTTCATGTTTCAGGAGCGATTTTTCAGCCCAGAGTACATCACTAGTTGGCAAGAATGTCTTTGCACAGATTTGGGGTACCAGCTGTACCCAAACTATTTTGTAAGTCATGGTTTGTGTTTAGGTTCACCTGGGTCCCCATGCACCTGCTTATCCTCCCAGCAAAAGCAGAGGTGTGAACAATCCCACAGCAGAATCCTGGACAACGTTTTACTCAGCATGGACCTATACAACCTCCTCCCCCAAGCATTCATTCCATTTTTTCCTAAGCTTCAGATTGATTGTTGACTTGCCTGTTTTTCCAGATGAAGTTTGGAACTGTTTTTTTTTTTTTATTGTCTTTAAAAAGGTTGTTTTGCCTCATAAACTCATTGAGGATCCGCCCACCTTGGGAATGGCTCCACGGTGTCGGTCATCTTCCCTGCCTCGGATGAGCTTGTCCTATCCTGTGGTGGATGACAAGAATTCCTCTCCAAATTCTCCTGGAGGCTGTGGCCACTTCTGAGGCCCTAGATTGATCAGTGAGACTCATTCCCTTCCCTCTCCTGATAATAGGTCACCAAGAAGCAGGAGGGACTGGGAAGGACAGAGTTGGTCCCTAAAGGTCACACAAGAGGTTTGGTTACTACTATGGAAAAAGAGAATAAGAAGTCAGGCTTGGAAGTGTCCCAAAAGAGGAAGGGAGGGAGGGCCTGGGTTGGCCGGCCCCACCTGGGTGCAGACAGATGGAACAAAGACCCACCCCACCCTGACTGCGCTGATGCCTGGCCCTATGGGATCATACAGAAGGTGGTCACCCTGCCCAAGGCCTGTGGCTCCTGGTCTGCCTGGACACTTTGTCCACAAAAATCCTAATTGTTTACCCAGTGATGGCTGAGTGGTGGGCGTGTGAGGGACTAATCACTGTGTGGAAGAAGAAACGCAAACAGGGATCAGCAGTCCCCAGAGCTTGCTTGACTGTAGCCCTGTGGTCTTCTGCGCTCACCAGCCTCTCACATTGGCCCAATGACTTCTTCTCCCAGGTAGTCCCTAAGTTCAACAGGCAAGGATACAGGAGGAATCAACCTGTCATCACAGGACCACCTATCCCAAGAACACATTGGCCTTGAGTGTCCACAGAGGGAAGACACTCGTCTGCTTGCGTTCTCCTGGCCTGTCCCTCAGCACCTGAGACTGTATCTGGAGTGGATGCTCCAAAGCTTTGGGCTAACAGGAGAAAGGACATAAGCTAGGGCACTGTGGCCGCTCGTAAGCTTCCTCTGCATTGTGGGCTTGGATCTTAGCCTTTGGGTCCTCTGAAAAACTCCAGGTCTAGGATGTGGGTGTTCCATGTTCCAGGTTCCTCGTATGCCAGGGTCTGGAGTCCGACATCTCGGCTGCAGGCTCAATTTCAGGATTCTCTTTCCTTTTCTAGGTTCTGAGCTCCAGGAAGGCTCTGGATTTGAGGAACCTGGCTCTGGACTCTGTGGCTCTGGGTTTGAGGGTGCCATGCTCTGAGCATTTCAGTTTGGGTGTGAGTGTCTAGGCTCTCGACTCTGCGTTTAAGCTGTAGATCCCTATGTTTCTGAGGCCAGAGCTGTGATTCCTGATTCTTGGGCTTTAAACTACAGGTTCTTAGACTAGTGATTCTCAACCTTCCTAATGCTGTAACCCTTTAACACAGTTCCTCATGTTGTAGTGACTCCAACCATAAAATTATTTTGTTGCTACTTCATAACTGTAATTTTGCTCCTGTTATGAATCATAATGTAAATATCTGATATGCAGGATGTCTGATATGTGACCCCTGTGAAAGGGTTGTTCAATCTCCAAGGGGATCTAAGCCAACAGGTTGAGACTGTCTATTCTGAACTTTGGGCCAGCCAAGTTTGCCCTGAGTCAAGAAATATCATTACACTTCATATGTGGAACATTCCCTCCTTTGAAGTGATTTCTACCTGTTCTCACTGAGGAGGCTTCCTACACCTGTAACAATATGTGGCAAAAGGGGGTTGTTAATAGCGCACACACGTGTGCGCGTGTTTACACACATGCGTGCAATCTACTCCCAGATCCATTCTTTATCAAACACATAACCCTGTATTTAAAACCTGGGGACAAGACAGAAAGCTGCCCCTGTCTTCACTGTGGCTGCAGCTAACAGGGGACCCATGTGGTGGTCCATGTGGGACCAGGGCCACCCAGGGGGAAGCACAGCAGCCTAACTAAGGTTCAGCTTGGCTCTTGCCTGACCCAGCTGTCCATTCTCCAGGGAAGGATGAGAACAAGGTAGTGGTGGCATGTCAAGGCAGTATGCTATGGCCAAAGCTCTGGAGGTACCTCACTCTACCCTATGGACTGGCACTTTGGACGTCTGGCCTTCTGCTGTGTGTGATAGCCCAGCAGTCTGATTCAGGAGTGTGGGGTATCAGGGATGTTGGAGATTGGACTTTGACACTGGTAACAAGATCACAGTGACTATAGAAAAACCCTCAGGAGCATCGGTACCAGAGGTCAGGACAGCATCAGCGAAGATGTAGCCATGAAGAGGGGTGGCCATGTGGACAGTTAGGTGATCAGAGGCAAGTGACCAAAGTCATTGTCAAAACTAGTCATAGTGGCCACATGTCAACTTCTCAGGAGGCAAAGTGGCAAGAGCCATAGTGCTTAGGTGTTTGAAGCCAGCCTAGGCAATTAGAGATCCCACAACTCACCCTCCCCCAAGAAAAATCACTGTTAGCACCATTGGTGGCCCAGGACACCAGTGACTGGGATCCACATTGGCCAAGGGAAACCTTGATGGGAAATTCTAGGCATATGATTAGTGCCAATTATCAAGATCACTGCTAGGGACAACTTTGTGTACAGGCCAATGGGTGGACACACCACTGACCAGATGCAATGATGACATACTTGTGATCGGTTAGCAGTCACTCTCTAAGGGCATAGTGGCAGATACATTGATCAGGAATATTGATAATGGTGGCTGTCCTGGGTCATTGGTTAGAGACAGCAATCAATGACAGGGTGATCAAGTTTGTCAATGAACAGATTTGGCAACTTGATACCCTAGAAACCAGAGCTGACCACACTTGGGGGGGGGGACCTGAGAGGTGCTAGGGCAGTTATGAAACGCCTAAACAGGCATCTTGCTGGGTTCACAGAAAAGGAAGCGGATGAAGAGCCTTGTCCATCCCCATGTACCTTCCCCTGGTCCCCAGGGAGGAGGTTTTAGCCAAGTGGGGCCTTCTCTGAAAGACAAGAGACAGCAGAAGTAAGTCCATTTTACAGTTCAGGCTCTGCCATGGATGCGGGACCCCAGGGATCCACGTGACAGGCTGCAACATTCACAGGGGTGCGGGGCCCCAGGGACCCACGGGACAGGCTGCCCCGTTCACAGGGGTGCGGGGCCCAGGGACCCACACGACAGGCTGCAGCGTTCATAGGGGTGCAGGACCCCAGGGACCCACGCGACAGGCTGCACAGGGGTGCAGAACCCCAGGGATCCATGCGACAGGCTGCAGCGTTCACAGGGGTGCAGGACCCCAGGGACCCACTTGACAGGCTCCCGCGTTCACAAAAAGTATTTTATTATTTTTAACAGTATTCACTTTAAAGGAATAGGAGGGTAGCATACAATTTTTACAGACAATATTTAAATGTTGTACATAGTTAACAATAACTTAGGTCACTAATTCAAAATAAAACAAGCCAAAAACATAAAAACAAAATACTGCCGCTTCTTTTTCTTATGCGGGTACTAGCACAAAATAAGTTACTTCCGGTTATGGTGCTCTGCAGCAATTGGACGCCAGTATTGCACGTAGTTGACCTATCAGCACAATGGCCTTCCCGGGCTAGGGCCCCCTTGCTGCTGCTACACCACCACCACCACACACAGAATCGAAGTTTGGGACGTGTTTTATGTACAGCTGTACCTTGAAGGATCCAGCCAGCCACAACGGAACAGAACACCCCAGGAATTACGGGAATCACAGTCTGCCCGCCCCCTGTCCCCCAGCAACCAAGAGCGTAAGATCCCCCTTATCCCCAGCCTCCTGCTAGGGCCATGGATCCAAGAACATTCGAGAAAGAAGAGTGGAGCTCAGCCGTGGTTTGCAGGTTTTATTCCTTTTCATTGTGGGGCTTCTGTGGCGTCGTACAAGTGACTGGACCCAAAACGAGTTTAAAAATAAAACCACTCATCAGCGAGTTAAGCTTATGCAGTTTGGGTTTTGTTTTGAATATTTTCTTATTTATCGTAGAGTGGGCGGGAGTTGAGGGGTTAGCAGAAAAGGATGTATTTACAGGGGTCCAGCTGGCCTAGAGCACAGGCCGCAGTTTGGCCATTTGGGTCACACCAGCTTTGGCCTCTCGAAGCCAAGGGAATGATCTGGGAGACGTTTCCCCTTTCCAGAGAATGCTTCCTTCCTGTGACCCAGCCCTGGCCTGGGAATCTGCGCAGGACCGCCTGCGATTGTCTCTGCCCTCTGCCTCGAGGGCTGCGTCAGGGCAGGGGCTACCCTCCAGGCAGCTGGGGAGAAGGCTCTGGCCCAGGCCCTGTGCGTCTGCCCCCCAGAGCCCTGACTGGTGGCAGTAGGCCCCAAGGAAGGGCCCAGAGAACACAAAGAGCCCATGCCTCCATGTCTTCATGTTCTTGTAAGAAATAAGAGCAAAATAAATTATTATTATTTTTTTTTTTGCCTACTCCTTGCTCCTCCAAAAAAATGGTTTCATTTTTCTGTTCCGAGTCTCCTCCTTTCCTTGCTAGAACTGTCTCTTTTGCTCTCCAAGCAACTGTCCGTGAAAAAAACTTTTCTGGGCAGCACCCAGGGCACACAAGCTGTAGCCCAGTTAAGAACATTCACAGTAATGGTGGCACACGACTGGGAGTCCTCCAAGGAGAGGTGGCTTCAGCCAGGCGAGGCTGGCAGGAGGAAGTGGGTCTCTTGGAATGGGCAGGAGCCAAAAGTGTGTTCCACCCATCCTGGGAGTGCCCGGTCTCACTCTGGTTCTGCCAGTCACTCTCTCTGTCCATGTCTGTCCAGCGGGAAGCTCTGCCTAGCCCATGGCAGTCACCATGCTGGAAGGGTGGGGGTGACCGAAGGAGAGACTGGAGGAGGGGTGGATGGGTGTTGGCGTGGGCAGGATGTGTCCAGAGTGGCTGAAGGGTGGGAGATGGCCCACGGGTGCCATGTGTCCAGCCAGGGCGGCTGCACTGAATGGGGACGACTTCTCCTGCATGCACTTGGACAGCTCCTCAAAGCACTCAGCCCCTTTCTTGCTCTTCTTAGACTTGCTGGACATCTTCCGGTTCCGGGTCTGGATCCCTTCCTTCTTCATAGTCAGTGGCCTGTTAACCTGAGGGCAGCCACACAGCCTTTAGGACAAGTTCCCTACCTACCCATGGATCCCTTCTCCACAGGTCAAGGGAAGCTGGGTCACGCATATCCCCAGGGTGCCAGGAATTGTGCCTTCAGCGCAGTCCTCCCACGTCACTCACCACACTCCGCCTAAGCCTGCACTGTCACCATCTCAGGAAAGGAGAGGTAACGGTGTAACAGCTCACATGGTTGTTTCCAGCCCACTAAATGCCTGTTCTGCTAGCCTCCTCCCAGACACCTCGATTCCTCCCCTACCCCCAACTTTTCCTAAGACAGGTACAAGCTCCCTGCCGGCCCTGCCCCCACCGGTCCCACCTCCAAAGCTCCAAAGCAGAGGCCCCCTTCTTACAGGAAGCCCTTCTGGCACTCTGGGCTGACCAAACAGGCAGCCGGCTGCGGCTTCCCAAGCCAAGCCAAGCTGGAGATTGTGGCTGGGGCCCGCTGGCGCTGGCCGGGCTGCACAAAGAACCGAGGTCCCTGGGGAGGGGTGGGGTGCACTTACATTGTGCAGCTTATAGTAGAGGCCACAGGCGTTGCACACAGGGTCCCCGTTGGCGTTCCGGCGCCATAAGGTGGTGGTTGTCGTCTGACAATTTGCACAACAGGTGCCCGCTCTCCTGGCAGCAGACTAGGAGGGGAGGGGTAGCGTCAGCGGGGCCTCTCCCACGCCCCACCTTGACCTCCTCCAGGGCCCTTAGCGCCACCCCCAGTCTCACCGCTTAGCCCAAGGAGCAGTGGGTCCCACAGGGGAATCAAAGCATCTCAGACCAAGGAATTTTAGAATTTGAGAAGTAAGCTAGCTAGGAATCACAGAGCTTTGGAATAAAGAACTCTTAGAATCCAACTGATGTTAAACACAGAGGGGAAAGCCAGTCACTTCCCCCAACTGCCTGCAATCTAATTTCATAGGTGAGGAAACTGAGGCCCCAAGAACGGTCCAACCCTACGGCCATCCTGAGTAGCTCTGTCTCAGGTCGCACGTCTCCTCTCTCACTATCCCCTGGAAATCCTGAATCCGGGTGAGTCTCGGTCAGGAGGCCATGGTAGCAAGACCCTGCACTGCCTAGGAGAGCCCAGAAAGGCCTGGGGAAGTTGCAGCCCAAAACTAAAGTGTGGAGTTGCCTTGTCCTATACGTGATCTGCAAGTTACCAGGAGAGATTTAAATTAAATTTCACTACAGTCTAAAAACAAAACGTTCAGTTCCCGTGACTGCACTAACCACATTCCTGGCGATCGATAGTCATACTAGCCAGAGGCTTCCACACAGGGCTGAGGAGCAAAGACATTCCCACTTCTGGCTGGTCTAGATTCTCTGTGCCTGAGAGCTCTCACCTGCCGCCTTCACCAGACCCTAATCCCAGCCCCCCAGGAAATGCCAGTCAGAGGTGGGGAGTGGAAGAGAGGAGATCTGGTCGCTAGAACAAGGAACTCAACCCTTTTCCTAGAATACAGATCACCCTTCTGCCACCCCTTCTGCCCCAGGTAAAAGGAGTGGAACATGTTCAGGTCCCCCCCTCCAAGCAATCCTAGCACTGAACTCCACTGGGCAGTCAGTGTCGGGTGAGAGTCCAGCTGAATCCAGAGTGGCCCTGGGCCTGAGCCTGCTGATGGAGGGGACCAGAGTTGGCCGCTGCGGGGGCAGGGACGGTGAGTAAGCAGCCTGAAGCTGGAATTCTGACTCAGGGGCCGGCAGTATATCCTCCTCCCACCCCCACCAGCCCACACCCGCCCTCACCCTGCTCCAGGGGGAAAAAAGAAAAAGGGCCCCAAAGCGGTGAACGATTTAAGCCCATAAATCACTTCGCCCTGAAAAAAATATATTTATTATTCTTAGCATTTTACACATTATTTGCAGAGCGGAGGGTATTAGAAATTTCAAAACAGCCCAGCGAGAGGCAGGACTGAGTCGAGGCGGCTCTGAAAACTTGCCGGTCCGGAAACAGATACACGAAGTTTCCTTATCTACCCACTGCAGATGTCCGGATAGGAAACTCCGGCAGGAGATCCGAAAGGACATTTTTTTAAAAATCACTCAAATGAAAATACACAGTATAGGTGACTCCATGGAAAAATAATAAGGGCAGGTTTTTTTGGTGGCTGCTGTGTGTTATTTAAATAAGCGGAGGAGACTGTGAGCTGGGGGGTGGCGGGGAGGCCAGAGCTGCCACAGGGAAAAGTACTTCATGACCCTATTTTTAAAAAGAGCGAATTGAAGGCCAGAACATGAGGTGGGCTGCTGGACCCTGGGTTCTGGGAATCCTTCAGCAGTGGGGGGCAGGGGAGGGGGTGCCCGGTGACTGCAGGACAGGAAATTCGGCAGGAAAGAATCCACCAGAATGAAGACCGACCTGACTGACCCCCCAAACGATTTTACTGATAAGAGACTTTCAGGTGGCAAAGTCTCTGCATTTGAAGTTTTTTTGTTGGGTTGTTTTCGTTTTTTGCTTTTTTTTTCTTTTCTTTCTTCCCTTAACTAACCACCAGCTCTACTCAGGTCTGTGGCCACTGTGGCCCTGCCCGGCCCTGCCCCACAATGTGCCCGTTCTTACCAGCCTCCGTTTGGGCTTGATGAGGGGCCGGTTCTGTCCGTTCATCTTGTGGTAGAGCCCGCACGCGTTGCACAGGTAGTGGCCGGTGCCATCCCGTCGCCAGAGAGGGGTGGCTGTGGCCCCACAGTTGACGCACTCCCGGCCTTCTGTGAGGGAACAAGGAAAGACACAAGGCCATCTTAGCGGCTGCGCAGAGAGCCAGAGGTTCAAGTCTGACACACGATTAAAACAAGGGAGACTTTTAGTTCCGCCCTGCAGACAGAGGAACTGGGGGGGGGGGGTCCCCCATAGAAGAGGTCCTGAGTCTTTTAAGGACAACCCCCCATTTCAGATGCTGCTGAGGAAAAACAAAGAGAAGCAGTAAGTACAGGGTGCCAGGGATTCTCAGAGTCAGTAGTGAGATACCCGGAAAAGGAACTGAAGGCCAGCTTAGTAGAGCACAGGCTAAGGCTACAGCCACAGTTGCCCAGCCTGGCCTCTTCCCTTCTATTTCCTCTCACTTTAGCCTCCCCAACTGTGCCAGCATCGCCAGGTCTGTTCCTCATCTCCGCTATCCGATCCTTGCTGTCTTTATGTTTGGTCCAGGGTCAGGAAGGAAATTTGTCTTCCCCCCAGCTTTGCTTCTTTTTCAACCAAACCCCTAGAATCCAATGATCAAAGATGCTGTTTCTTAGAAATGAAATGTTAAGTTCTTTCACTTTGGGTTAGGTGGCCTCATTTTTTGTTGTTGTTTTTGGTCAGCTGAAATTCAAATAAAACAAAAACAAAAAAGGGCTACAAAAGCAAAGACTCAAAGAGTCTTAGGAGAGCAGGAACTGGAGGAAAGTTGGGGTTCAGTGGGGTGAACGCTTAGTAAACTCGGTACCCAAGACATTCTTCCTGCTTTAGTTGAAACTAAGCACCTATGAACTCAAGCAAGAGAAAGGGGTTTCTGAACTCAGGGGTAAACTTTGAAGAAAACCTTCCCCCACTCTTGCTAAAAACTAGGGAAGGAGCCTCAGAGCCAAGGGTTACTGCCTGAGGGCCACACTGCTAGACAAACCCAGCTGGATCCAGCTATCGCTGGCAAAGAGGTGCGCAGAGGTTCGCACTCCTACCCTCAGGGAGAAGGATCAGGGTCACTAGGACACAAACAGGCCTTGGGAATTTTGCTTTGGGGAAATCTCCAAGGAGATCTGGAGTCACCGCAATCCTAAAACTAGACCTGCAGCGTTGGAGAGCCAGATTCCTTCAGGGCCTGGACCTCTGCAGTGCCCGCAGCGTGCGCACACGCTCACAGATACACGTACACACATGTACGCACCGACTTCTTCCCTCACCTACACCCTGCATTCTCCCCCACACCCAGTCATGAGGCTGCTGTTTCAGCTGAACGATGGGAAGGGACAGGGAATCATATTCTGAGAGTCAGCTGATGCTTACCCACCTTGGAGAGGAGGACAAAGGTGAGGAAAGGAACTGAACATTGTGGACACCAGGAGCACTCAAGGGCAGGAGGAAAGTTTTAGGGTTTCCTTGCTCCCCACAGGGAGCCTCAAACACCTGTGGACTATCAGAGAGGCTTGCCACCCATTCTTGGCTCAGGAGCACTAACGTGGCCCCTCTTCAGATCACAACCCCTTTTACAGAGACACACCCCACCCACAGACCCTGACCTGCCTTTACCTGAGCAGGAGCGCGCCTTGCTTCGCTGCTTAGGGGTGAAGCTGGAGGCCGGGCCACCCAGGAAGCCTCCGGGATGGAAAAGCCCGCTGCTATAGTCATGAGCTGAGGCAGGCACATAGGAGGGATAGGTAGGGATTGGGTGATGTGTTGCAGGCTGAGTGCCCATGGTAGCTAGGCCTGGGCGCAGGGGACTGCCACCTTCCATCTTCATGCTCTCAGACAGTGACACTTGGTACTTGACACCGTCCTTGTCCTCACCCCGGGCTACACTACCCCCTGCAGAAGATGAGGCTGGGGAAGCGGCTCCCGTGGTGCTGGGGTCTGGAGACACTTCTTTGGGTGGTGTGGGTGGGAAGCCGAAGAGATGAGAGCCAGAGTGGGCTGCAGTGGGGGTGAGGGAGGCCACTGAGCTCCCACTGCCTCCCCCGCTCCCACCTGCTGCCCCGGGGTACACAGACAGAGGCCCTCCGGGTGCTCCAGCAGCTGAGGGGTGCAGCGGGGTCTTGGAAAACGGGCTGACGGTCCAAGGGCTGTGGTGATGGGCAGCGGCGGCCGAGAGAGCAGCTTTGCCCCCATCCAGCCATGGCAAGCCTGGGCTGTGCAACAAGTGTGGCCGGCACATCTGGCCTCCGGTGAGACGGGCTGCAGCAGAGGGAAAAGGGGTAAGTGTGGGCAGGGGCCTCAGAACCGTGACACAGGCATACAGGATCACAACTCAGTCAGCAACCCCACCCTCTAAAACACCAGAAACATTAATACC